TGTTTTAGTGTGTTGACAGAGTGCATATTATGCATTTATAATTATCTATAAGTCGGGTTTTTTTGACTACATATAAATATTTTGATGTTTTTTTTTTTATATACAGCAATGCAGTTTGAAACCAATAAACCTGAAAAATTTGTAGTTTTTCAATCACCCTTGGTTTCTGAAGCAAATGTTCTACCAGAAAGTAATAGCTTTACTATTGGACGTTCTGAGAGTCCTTTTCCAATTAAATCTATTAAAGAAAAACTTTCTTCCGAAAATGGCAATAAAAAGTTAAAAATGATTACTGAACTGAGTAAGAATGTTTCTTTTAGTTGTACTGTATTGTGTTTATAAGATTTTTGTAATGAACTTATTTTCAGTTTACAATACCAACGCCATGTTTTTGGATCAAGATGATATGAACATCTATGACGATGAACATTTTTATTTGGCACAACCTTATGCATGCGGATCAATATTTACAGTTTCAATTCTTGATTCATTAGTTAGTGCTGTAAGTAATTTGTTTATGAAATTTTAATGCTTCCAGGCTAAACCTTGACTATTCCATTGGCTATTCAATTTTTAGCATAATAAAGAGAAGAAACCTTAGCGGGTATTAATTTAGCAATTGATTGTATATATGGTTTCCATTAAAGATCAGTAGTAAACGATAATCCAAAAAGACGTAAAGAAGAGGACTCAGTGATAGGGAGAGCCATTATTAATATAGGACAGTATTGCTGTAGTAGTTATTTTATTTTACTTCCTAATTAGTGGTAAAATTAATGGTGGTAAGTTTAGTGTCAACACAATCATGTTTGATTTTACAGAGTGGTTAATACTTTATATATATATATACAGTTTTTGGTTTGTAACGATAGTTTTAAACTAGTTTTTTGATAGTATATAGTTAGTTTCTAATATAACAAAACAAAAACCTCTTGATGTTTTATAGAGCAGTATGTGTGTTTTAGTTATATATATATATATATATATATATATATATATATATATATATATATATATATATATATATATATATATATATATATATATATATATATATATATATATATAATATATATATATATATATATATATATATATATATATATATAATGGTTTCTATACCAAAGTGGTCGGTTTCTATACCAAAGTGATTAATTATATTGAAGATCTTTTTTTTAATACTATTTACCTCCCCAAAGCTAAGAGTGTCACTACAGTTAAGGAGTACAGTTAAGGAGGCAACTTTTAATTTTTGCAATTTTTTTATTGTGGTTACAACTATCGCAATATTGTCAACATATAGATATATGCTGTCAGTATTACGATAATTGTTTGCAGTAAATAAATGAATTTTTTTGGAGCTAAAATTTACAAGTCACTGCGAGCCCCGACCTGGTTTTTCATGTTTTATATATGGGGTTTCGTTTGGCATGATGAGAACTTGACTCATTCATAGATAGAGCACAACCTCCTAAACAATGAGCTTAACCCTAAGCCATAACATAGGGCATCTTATGTGGCCTCAACAATGCGCAGAGTCACCATCCATGCGCAACAAGGCACTGGTAATATTCTGATATTTTATTAAACTGCGTTTTAGAGCTGTACCCTCATTAGGAAATAACAGGAAGGGTTCCATAGCTACTATCAAAGAAGCACAAATGAATACCTATGAGTGTAGTCAAGAAGATTCAGCATTCATCATCATAGGCAGAAAGCAATGTAACGCTGGTTACATTACACAATGTAACACTGTAACAATGGTTACATTGTACATTACACACTGCAACACTGGTAACCAAATTCATATTCTTTAAGACTACTCTTTGATATTTACAAAAAATAGGTGAATACAGGTTCTTAAAAAGGTGAGATAAAAACAGAGGTAATTAGCCCTGATTTCCTTTATATATAAAAAAACTGTTTTTACATTTAGACATACTGTCCAAATGTCTTTAGAATAACTGTTTTTACAATGAGACTTATTTTTACATTTAGACATATATATAAAAACTGTTTTTGCGTTTAGACATATTTTAATGGCGATATTTTGACTATTGTTCGAAATCTCGTGACAGGAAGTGTCAGCTCGGAACTTGATGAACTCTTGGCGGAGGGTAAACAACCTCTAGGGTCGTTTGAAACCTTAGAAATAGCATCAGCTAGAAATAGATGTCGAATAGCTCAAGTGGATCTACTTGAAGGTCAACTTTCTGAGTTTGGGGTAATTATGTTTTTATAAATACTTATATGTATATTTTTATAAATAGTATTTTTTTTATTTTGTTGTTTACATGCATATAATTTTTTGTATGCATGTAACCAAAAAAATTAAAAAATATATTTTATAGTTTTAAAAACTATGAAATGATCTTTGAAAAGAAATTATTAAAAAATTATTGTAAATACTATAATTCTTTGTTTATTGTCATATAGGCGCTAATTCAATTTAGATTTTTTATTTGGTGATCAAGTCTGACACTAAACGAAAAATAATAAAAATGCAAAATATAAGATCGTTATAACCATGAGTGATTGGTAAATACGCAAACCATAGCTATTATCGTAACTTAATGAATTTAAATGAAAAATATTAGTACACTTTAACGTTCTGTTTTAGCAATGTGGAATGTTTGGCGATTTGTTTTTATACGCTTTGCGCACTTATAACATGATATGCTTGGGTTTATTTCGACTACGAGATACGCAACGCTTACGAACTAAAAGTTCAAAAAGGTACGTTATTACATTTCCTGAGTTTAATTTTATGCTTGCACCGACTGATCACGTGTTTGTGTTGACGCAGTTTCAAGCTGGCAAAAGAAAAAAAAAGAATTTTTCCAAAGAAGATTTGTATATATGAACAGAAAATATTCTATTACTGTGAGCGAAAGCTTTACCTTACTAAAAATCAAAATAGAATAAAAGGTGCAGCAAAAAGACTAATCTGTCCTTATCTTTTTCTTAACATGAATTTGTTAACTTAAAAAATGAACTTGTTAACTTAAAAAAACATTTTTTCTACTATTTACATATATTACTAAAATACTATACGCCATGATTATGTATAAAAAATTATTACTAAAATGTGTCATGTACACTAAGTACACTATATTACAATGTGTTACGCACACTGCATACACTATATTACAATGTGTTGCGTACACTACGTTTACTATATTACATTGGGTTACGTATAAAAATTAAAGAAAAAATAAATGGTGTAATATAACGCATATTAAAAATATTATTTAAAATACTGTATTCAGAACTTATGTGTAAAAAAAGTAAATTTTTTTTTCTTTTAAGAAAATGTAATGGAATATATTTTATAAGTAATTTTTTCATACTTAATGCTAGAAAAATATTAAAATACCGAAAGTATTATTTCTTATTAACATTTTGCTTCTAAAATTTTAATGGGTTTAATTTCTCTAAATACAGCGCTCGAAATAGTTTTTCAAAGCTTGCCGATCAAATATAATTTTTTCATAAAAACACGTTATATTCCTTGAATTTTTCTATAAATAGCCGATCATTGATCGTTGATTGGCGCGCTCTAAATACAAGGTTTTGCAAAGTTATAAGTGCACGTTTGCAAAGTTATAAGTGCATTTATAAAATTAATTTAAACTCATATTTTAAATATCAATGGAAAGAAAAGTACGGAAAACAATTACAGAAGAAACTAAAAATACGAATATTTCAATGAGAAATGGTGAAAAATATTCAATCAAGGAAAAATTAAACGCTTGTAATTTAACTCGAAATGCTGTTTGTCGTGTTATAAAAAATAGTGATAATAATATACCCTTCACGTCATCTACAGTAAAAAGAAAAGAAACGTATAAAATCAAAAATTCTATAAATACAAACATTGAACAGACAATATTTAATTCCGTGGTCTGTAACAATGCCGTAGTTCAAAAAGAAATTCAAACTCAGTGCGCTCATATGGCTATTCTCCAAAAAATAAAAAAGCGTACTTGACAGTTCCTGCAAATAAAGGACAGAATGTTAGCCTCATGTGCTTAATTTCTAATTTAGGAGTTAAATGTTACCAATGCAAAAGCGGCACATACAATACACAATCATTTATTGATTTCATCAACAACAAAGTAGTTCCATTCTTTGCAGTAAATCCAAATAAAATTCTTATCCTAGAAAATGCAAAATTTCATAAAGCAGCTGCAGTACTTCAATTACTAAGAGAAAAAATATTACTCACAAGTTTTTAGTACCATACTCTCCTGAATTAAACCCTATCAAAGAGTTCTTTTTAATGTTAAAATCCAATTTCAAATTCACGAGAAATGCTAATCCCGATATGACTGTTGAAGAAACTCTAGAATATATTCTCCTGATAATAATTATAGTCAACAGTGCAATGCCTTTTATATAAATATGAGAAGATGGTTGGAAAAGGCAATAAGGAGAGAAGAATTTATCTAATTAAAATATTTAAAATGATTTGTTTATTTTTTTTAATTATGTATATTTTTGCATGCCTTTTTAAAATATTATGATTAAATAATGTATACTATTTTTTAAAAAATATGAAAGTATCTAATCTAGAAAAGTTATTGATATATAACAATACGCTAAATTATGTAAAAATGTTAAGAATTTTCACTAACTAATCACTTTTTAAAAAAAAAACACTTATCCTCGCAGTCGGAAAGTCACGTGGTTATGCAAAATAACAAAAGCGTAAGTTGTTACCATCTTGGATGGGGGAAAACAAATAATCAGTTGAGTTACTAAAGCAGGACAATTATTACGAAAAAGTGGTTTAAAGAGTTTAAAAAAAGAAATATCGGATTACGAATATTTTGAAAAAACATATTTACAAAACATATATATATATATATATATATATATATATATATATATATATATATATATATATATATATATATATATATATATATATATATATATATATATATATTATATATATATATATATATATTATATATATATATAATTAATATATTATTTATATTTAAACGTATATCTATATATCAAAAATCATTTAATGACACAACGACCCTTGTGCATTTTAAAGACTTATGTTATGCCATTGTTTTCGTTTCATAACGAAAGTTTATTTTCCCCCAACGATGTTTGCGGCAAAGGTTATGACGTATTTCCGACTGCGAGGATTGATTGCTATGCTGTAACTTAATTTAATATTTTGCGCAATATTATTAAAGCTAAAAAAATAATTTCCAAAAAAATGCATAACCGTTGGGAAATGAGCTAGCGACTAGCGAGCGATTAGCTAGCTTTATAGCGATTTTGTAGCGATTTTTTTTTTCTAATTGTTTTTTTTCCTAATGTCTTTAACATCTTTAAAAATTCGATTTTTAGTGTTGACTCTATTTTAATTATGAAAATAATTAAACTTTAAACTTGGCGATTTTGTAGCAATGTGTCGCTAGCTACATATCGTAGCTTTATAGCTAGCTACAAAATATCTACAAATCTATAGTAGGTTGATAGCTGCATATTAAAATTTTTTAGACTGCGATTTTATTACGATATGACGCTAGCTACAAAAGCCTGTGGGTCTTAAGCTTATTAAGCTAACGGTCTTCGTAGCCAAATTGCTGTCTTTGTCTTTACAAATATCGATAGCTTTTCGCTAACTTAAAAAAGCTGCCGATCCTCGTGACCAAATCGTTGTCTTTATCGTTACGATTACAGCTAGCTATTCGCTAGCCGATTTCCCACCGGGTATGCACTTATAACTTTGCAAGCGTGCACTTATGACTTTGCAAACATGCATTTATAACTTTGCAAAACCCTGTAATTTTCAATATCTTCTTAATCTTTTTTAAACTAAAATAATTCAAATTATTTTTATCTTAAATGTGTTAATATAGCTTTTATCAAAATAATGTTCTAAAAAGTTTAAATAAGTTTAAATGGTTTAAAGGATATAATAAAAAAGATTTTAATGATTTAGAGAATAAAAAAGACATGACAATGTTCAGGGCCGACGGCACGGGTTTCAAAGTGGGGGGGGGGGGGGGGCACAACCGTCAATTCTTAAAAAAAGTCGCCTATATCTAAAATTTTCTTATATTAAAAGAAGTATAAACAAAATGGTCCTTTAGAAAAAAAGTGTAGGGGGGGGGGCACGTGTCCCTTGTCCCCCACCTCCTCCAGTGTCGTCGGCCCTCCTTCGGTGTTGTCTAAATAGGATGATGTAAAACACTCGGAAGCAAAATTAAAGGAACCTAAAGCCTATTTTTAAATAATTTTTGACGTCGGTTATTTTATTTATTTTTTTTTGAATTAGGAAAAAGTAGCCGTTTAAGGGGATGTTTTTGTAAAATATGTAAAAAATGAAGACAAGCTATCATTTCGGAGGTTTTGGTAAAAAATGAAGACAAGCTATCATTTCGGAGGTTTTGATAAAAAAATAAAGACAAGCTATCATTTCAGAAGTTTTGGTAAAAAATGAAGACAAGCTATCATTTTGGAGGTTTTGGTAAAAAATGAAGACAAGCTATCATTTCGGAGGTTTTGGTAAAAAATGAAGACAAGCTATCATTTCGGAGGTTTTGGTAAAAAATGAAGACAAGCTATCATTTCGGAGGTTTTGGTAAAAAATGAAGACAAGCTATCATTTCGGAGGTTTTGGTAAAAAATGAAGACAAGCTATCATTTCGGAGGTTTTGGTAAAAAATGAAGACAAACATTTCGAAGAAAACTAACTTTTATTGTACTTTAATTTTTTTTTTAAACATCTTCACTTCCAACTACAAGCAACCACTATTAAAGTTGGAGGTTACTGGAAGAGAAAAGATAAGTTTATAGTGCAAGATAACGATTGACAGACAACTTAAAAGATTGCAAATCATATGAATCAGAACAGCAAGATGAAGGTAGCGAATTCCAAAGAAATGTTCGAGGAAAAAAACTAGAAGAATAAGAGTTTTTGGAGCACTTAGGAAAAGTAACAGAAAAAGGATGAGACTTAATTAAACACGAAAGTGAATTTTAGTAGATGGCACAAAAGACGCCATCTACTAAAATTCACTCTCGATGTGATGATGGTTGAAGATTGGCTGCAAGAGCAGGTCCAACTATGCTTACAATGCGTTTTTTTCACCTTGTCTAAAAGGGCATAATTGGAAGGTCCGCCACAGATATGGCAATAATATGCAAGGAAAGATTTATAGAGATAAAAAATAGAATCTAGAGTAAGAAAGTATGATAAAGAGATGCAACCTTAGCAGATGCTAATTTTGCAATGACTTTTATATATGGTTTCCAAGAAAGACTGGAACTAAGAGGTAATCTTAGAAGATGAAGGGTAGATGACTCATCGAGTGCACTATTGTTCGTAAATTTAGAAAGATCTAGACTATTGCGATAACGATTGGCTTAAAAAACTACCTGAATTAGATTTCTCTAGCTACTGTGAGGCCCATGCTGTAGCAGAAGTAAGATTCTTTTTAAGCTCAAATGCCTCCCTCCAATCAATCAGAGAGTGTTGGCTTCTTTATAAATAAACTTATAAATAAATTGCAAAAGTCTTGTTAATAACAATGAATTTAAGTGTGAAAAAAATATAATTTGAAACTATGCAGAACCGTGTACTTAAAAGATCTCCTATTATTGGAAAGTCATTAAAACGCATATATAATAACAAAAATAACTTAAAAAATTAAATGAAAAAAATAAAAGAGTATAATCTGTGTTTTTTAAGAAAACTATTTCTCGCGGAATTCGCAAATAAAATAGTTGTCAACGCTAGAACTCAGAGAATCTTTGACTTATCAGACTTATTAAAAAATTTTAACAGTATAGTTTGCAGATATCCACTTTTTTTTTATACAAGTAAACAAATTCAGCAAATTTCGGCTGAATAAATTTTAATATATCTTCAGTAAAATTTTATTTTGAAATACTAAGATTGTATTTTTGGAGAAAATTATGAATGTCTAAGTTTAATAAAACCATATCTAATCATTTCTTATAACAAATATTTTATATTTAACAGTTTAATGTTATAATATATATGCCGCGTGGAATACTAATTCTTGTTAGTAATAAAGTTACTACAAGTGTTAGTAATTAAAATTAAGAGTAATTAAATTACTGCTAGTGTTAGAATTTAATAAACTCATAAGAATTGTGAATCTCATTTTAACACATTCTCCCAATATTGTGTACTTAGCGCTGATAAAACAACGTTAATGTAAAAATGAGCTGTTTCTATACAAAATTCAGTACCATAGCAACCAAGTTAAAACATATATAAAATCTAAACAGGGATTTAAGGGGACGAGCAATCAATTAAAACTTGATTGAAACATCATATAGCTTAAATATATAAGACAGTACGTGGAAAATTATGGTAATTATTAGTTATAGTGCGGCAAAAAATAAATTTCTTAAAGATTTTTTTTTTAATCTCTGATTTTCAACGTATAGCTGAGATAATATGCTATGACATATTTATTTCACACATTGGTTTTTCTTATCTCTAAATACTCAAGAATAACATGTACTAATTATTTGTTTCAAAAACGTAGATGTAATCGAAATATAACACAGCGTTAATGTCACTGTAAATTACTTATTTAAACTTTTTTTTTTTTTTAATATCAATAGTTAAATGTTTAATATAAATAAATTATCAATAAATTTCTCCGATTCTAAAACTAAATAAGTTTTCAAGATTAGACAACTGAGTTTTTTCTCATTTTGTCCACCCACTGTGCAGCGTTAACAATAAAAACGCTAATTTAAATATTGAACAAAACGCGTTTCGTTCACGGTGGTTTAAGTTTAAGCATTTCCGGACATTTATTATGCGCATGCGTTACTTTAAAAACAACAACAACATCGTAATTTTGACTTTTTTTTTGTTATGGTTTTTTATCGTAACCTAATAAAAAAGGTCATATCATTGCTTTGAAGATGTTTATACCAGATATAAATTCATAAACTAATAAAATATATGGCCAAGGAAAACACATTAATTTAAAATACTTAAATTTGTTATTTTTTATGTAATAAAAAACGCGGGAAAGTCGGAAATTATTTTATGGTCATCCTAATTACTAAAACATATTAATTAGGCATTTATTAGAATTTTTATGCCTTAAAGCTGTACATATTTTAAAAGAAGAAGGTTTTAACTTTATAATAAAAAAAAAATCAGAGTCCGGTTACTTTTTTAAGTTTAAAAATTTTGTATATCAAATCTTATATTTTAGCAATAAAAAAACATACAAAAATGACTGAGTCTTATGAAACAAAACTAAAAACATTATGCAGAATATGTGGAGAAAGTGTAGATAATGATAGTGTTCTTTTAACAAAACACATTGCTAGAATAGAATTTTGTTTTTTTATCCGAATCGATAAAGACCACTCAAATATACATCCTCAAAAAATGTGTTATAGATGCTTTTCAATATTAAGAAATATTGAAAAAGGTTCAAACACTGAACTAAAATTAAGATCATGGCCTGAAAATTGTAATCTAACTGAATGTGTTTGCTTTAAATCCAATAAAGGAAGAAAAAAAAGAAAAAGATAAGTAGAAGACCTTCGAGTATTAGTTATAAAGAAAATAATTGGACAAGACACAAAATAAATAACATACAATCTAATTTTTTTGAATTTTTCATATTTAATCATAAATCTCAGAATTGAAAATACTGCTTGAAGCAGACCATATAAAGAAATCATTTGGGCCACTTGTAAAAGAACTAGATAAGGTACTTAATTCATTAGGAGTACAAAGACAAGCATACCACGGGAAAAGTTTTGTTGGTAATCATGTTAACAAAATGTTAAAGGTAAAATATATCTAATATATATTTCCTAAATTTATAAAATCTACTCTTTACTAAAAACAAAGTGTACCTAAACTTAAATGTACAATACAATATAAATATATGTGCGTATGTGTGTGTGTGTGTGTGTGTGTGTGTGCGTGTGTGTGTGTGTGTGTAAGTGGAATAGATGGCTTATACTAACATTATTAGACATAACTAAATACGTAATTAACAACAGTTGCTACATATGATACATTTTTCACAATTATTTTATATACTAAATTAGGAGAAAAGTATTCTTGAACTTTGCAACTCCATACCAAACCTTGTAGTCGAACTTGGGTTCAATGACACTAATATACACAAAGAAACTATTGAAATTTGTAAAAACTTCAAGGTACTCTTCTCTAAATTTGGAATTTGTCACAAGCTTATTAACTCCTGCAATCAGTTCAATGAAGATAAGAAACAGGACCTTGGTATGTCATATGTTATTTTTTGGCAGAACAAAATAAATAGACAAAATCATTAACTATTTGATCTTCATCTTTGCTTTTTTAAGTCATTGTGTTATATAAATATATATATATATATATATATATATATATATATATATATATATATATATATATATATATATATATATATATATATATATATATATATATATATACATATATATATATATATATATATATATATATATATATATATATATATATATATATATATATATATATAGACATATATATATATAGACATATATATATATATATATATATATATATATATATATATATATATATATATATATATATATATATATATATATGTATATATTATATATATATATATATATATATATATATATATATATATATATATATATATATATATATGTTAATCATTAACTATTTGATCTTCATCTTTGTTTTTTTAAGTCATTGTGTTATATATATATATATATATATATATATATATATATATATATATATATATATATATATATATATATATATATATATGTATATATTATATATATATATATATATATATATATATATATATATATATATATATATATATATATATATATATATATATATATATATATATATATATATATATATATATATATATATATATATATATATATATATATATATATATATATATATATATTGGTTACAGAAAATCAAATCAAAGATTTCATGAAGTACTTTCGTGAAAACTGGCCAAACGCTTCAATCACACCAAAGCTTCATATGCTGGAGTACCATGCATTACCTTTCATTAGAAAATGGGGAGTAGGACTAGGTACTTATGGAGAGCAAGGTGGAGAAAGTATTCATGCTGAAATCAACCGTATGAAGAGTATCTACTGCCATATGAAAGGAGTAGGTAGATTAAGAAGCATAATGAATGAGCATTTCATAAAAAACAACCCAACTGTAAAAAAATACCAAAAAAAAGCTCAACCAAGAAAAAGAAAATTGTAGATACCAAAAATAATCCGATAAAATACTGCAAAATGATTTACAGATAATAAATGGCAGTAATAAAGCCTCCATAATATTTCTGTCAGCATTTTTAACCTTTTAAAAAAAACGAAAATTTACCAATCTTTAAAAGCATTATATTATCACAAAAAAAAGTAACCGGTTTTTGATTTTTGCTTTAAATGATTCACAAACTATTATATTTTCAAAAAAAAATTGAGGTTGTCACTAAAAAATTTAAAACTTTAGAATATAGACTATAATGTAAGCACAGGTTAAACTTCGCCTAAAAAATAGCTAAGTTTTAATTTAGTCCCACTTCTATTCTCTTTGTAAAATTATTTAAATGATAGCTTTGATGACACATACCATACCTAAAGTATTGTTTTAATATCATTTCTTATAGGCAATTTAGAAATATCTACAAATAAATCTAATTTAAAGTTTAGACAACTCTATTAGTAGTTTTCTGTTTACTTGCGAACATTATTGTTTACCAACATTTGAATAAAATATAGCGCGTGCGCATAATAAATGTCTATTACTAAACCACCGTGCGTTAACGAAACGCGTTTTGTTCAATGTTTTCTGTAATAAAATATCACATCCGCCTAAAATATTACATCCCCCATAGAAAAAATGAAAACGAGAACGCGCTTTCGAGTCATTGCACTTAGAAGTGTATCAAATACGTCCGAAACATTTAATTATAAACAATATAATTAATAAAAACGTTTTTTTACTAATATACTATAAATGAAGTTAGCATAAAATGGTAATATATTTTAAATTCTTATTTATAATATTTTGATCGTAATGTATTGTGTGACAATAGCGTAGAAGAAGATTACACATTAGGGATACTTTATGTAATAAAAATAACAATCGTTTGCAATATTTTAGAAGCCTGCATAGGGGGGATGTGATATTTTAAGCAAGAATTCTAGTTTCTTTTTGTGACATATACAGAAATAACAGGTGGTGGATGTTATATTCTATATACCAAATACTAATTGTTTAAAATACTTTATAAACTACTTAGGGGGATGTAATATTTTAGAAGTAGACATCGGGGGGATGTTATATTTTAAGTAAGAATTTCAGTTTCTTTTTGTGACATATACAGTGAATAAACCGAGGGGATGTGATATTCTAGATACCAAATACTAATCGTTTGAAATATTGTATGAATTACTTAGGGGGATGTAATATTTTAAAGGTAAACATAGAGGGGATGTGATATTTTAAGTAAGAATTTCAGTTTCTTTTTGTGACATATACATAGAATCTACAGGGGGATGTAATATTTTAGGTATCAAATACTAATCAATTGAAATATTGTATGAATTACTTAGGGGGATGTAATATTTTAAAAGTATACATAGGGGGGATGTGATATTTTAAGTAAGAACTTCAGTTTCTTTTTGTGGTACATACAGAACTTACAAGTGATAAATCTTATATTTTAAACACTAAATACTAACCATTTGAAATGTTTTATGAATTACTTAGGGGGATGTAATATTTTAGAGATAAACATAGGGGGGATGTGATATTTTAAGTAAAGATTTAAAGTTTCTTTTTGTGACATATACAGTGAATAAACCGAGGAGATGTGATATTCTAGATACCAATTACTAATTATTTGAAATATTGTATGAATTACTTAGGGGGATGTAATAATTTAAAGGTAAACATAGCGGGGATGTGATATTTTAAATAGCAAATATTAATTGTTTGAAATATTGTATGAAATACTTTAGGGGATGTAATATTTTAAAGGTAAACTTAGAATGGATGTAATACTTTTAGTAAGAATTTCAGTTTCTTTTTGTGACATATATAGCAAATAAACCGAGGGGATGTGATATTCTAGATACTAAATTCTAATCGTTTGAAATATTGTTTGAATTACTTATGGGATGTATTACTTCAAAGGTAAACATAGAGGGGATATGACATTTTAAGTAAGAATTTAAGTTTCTTTTTGTGGTACATACAGAACTTACAAGTGATGGATGTGATATTCTAGGTACCAAATACCAATCGTTTGAAATATTGTATGAATTACTTAGGGGGACCTAATATTTTAAAGGTAAACATAGAGGGGATGTGATATTTTAAATAGCAAATATTAATTGTTTGAAATATTGTATGAATTACTTAGGGGATGTAATATTTTAAAGGTAAACATAGAAGGGATGTGATGTTTTAAATAAGAATTTCAATTTCTTTTTGTGACATATGCAGAGATTCCACAGGGGAGATGTAATATTTTAAATATCAAATATGAATTGCTTGAAATATTGTAGAAAAATAATTAGGGGGATCTAATATTTTAGAAGTATACATAGGGGAGATGTGATATTTTAAGTAAGAATTTTAGTTTCTTTTTGTGGTACAAACATAATTTACAAGTGTTGAATGTGATATTCAAGATAGCAGTTACTACTTATTTGAAAAATTTTATGAATTACTTAGGGGGATGTAATATTTTAAAGATAAACATAGAGGGCATGTGATATTATAAGAATTTAAGTTTCTTTTTGTGGTATATACAGAACTTTTAAATGAAATATTTTATTATTGTAAAGAAGTACTTTTTTTTAAATGAAATATTGTACTATTGTAAAGAAGTACTTTGGGAGATGTAATATTTTAGAAGTAGACATAGTTGGGATGTGATATTTTAAGAAAGAATTTCAGTTTCATTATGTTATTTATACAGAAATTACAAGTGATGGATGTTATAGTCTAGTTACTGAATACTTATTGTTTGAATTATTTTATGAATTACTTAGTGGGATGTAATATTTTAGACGCCTGAATAGGGTGGATGTGTAATTTAAGTAAGAATTTCAGTTTTATTTTGTGACATTTATAGAGAATAAATAGGGGGAATGTGATATTCTAGGTACTAAATACTAATCATTGATTAGTATTTGATACCTAATGAAATATTGTAAAGAATTACTTAGGGGGATGTAATATTTTAAAAGTATACAAAGGGGGGATGTGATATTTTATGTAAAAATTTTAGTTTCTTTATGTGATACACACAGAATTTTTAAGTGAGGAATCTGATATTTAAAACACAAAATACTAATTGTTTAAAATATTGAAAAGAATTCCTTAGTGGGATAATAATAATATTTTAGACGCCTGCATAGGGTTGATGTGTAATTTAAGTTAGATATCTATCTCAAATATTGTTAGCTATTTTTTGTTTCTTGGGTCCTCCTCTGATGGGGAGATCTTTATAATAAATTTATATATTTAATTAAAGAATTAAAAAAAAATTAAAGAACTTTTAATAAAATCAAGAAACTTTAATATTTAAAGTGTTTTTTAGCTTTTTAAAGTTTTAATTTAATATTTTATTTTTTTTTAGATACGATTGAGCTAACAATTTAAACATGCGACATTGTTCAACGAAGTCATATTTAAAACTTTGGTGGAATTAAAGTTTTCATAAGATTTAAAATGAACGAAATTAATAACAATAATTTTTTACTCTAAATGTATTCATATCTTACAACATAAATATTTTAATGTACAAAACGTTTTGAAGGAAAATAAATAATTACGGTTTGTCTTTTTTAATTCTATTGCATAATTTAAAATTTTTCTCCATTACGTCCACCTATGGTGGCTTAGGCGTAATGTTTTGGGAAGGTTATAAATTCTTTAGATACTTTTTTTGAATAATAGAAACTTCTTTTCTTAATAAAGGAACATTTTAAAGAACTATTTTTAAATATTAACGTTTCTTTGGGTGGCTTGGTATGGAAATATAATGTGATTATTGAGCCTGTTGAGGCGAGTTAATAATATTTAGTCCAGTTCACAATTATTAAAATTATACAAATTTTTAAAAGTGGCAGTTAAAAAATTAACTTATATTTATTACAATAAATTATAAAATCATGTATTTCATGTATTAGAATCATCCAATATCATACTGAACTGAAATGATAAAGAATAATGTACTGTAAAAGACAAAGTACATAAACGGTTTGTTGTATATATATATATATATATATATATATATATATATATATATATATATATATATATATATATATATATATATATATATATATATATATATTCTATCAAATGTTAACACAACATTTTTGTAAAAATTAAAATTTTGAAAAAAAATACTATTGAGCAAGTATTATTCTTCCACACTAAGAATATTCTGCTTTTGTTAGGTTTTCCTATTTTCTTAATGACACAAATGCTAAAGATGGTTCGAAGAAGATTTCACTAACAGATAATAATCATCCTTATAATGACAGATTTATAGCGTTGAATTCAACAAGTTTGAAAAAAAGACGAAAGCGTAGTGGCTTAATTTAAATGATTGAATTAGGTAACAAAACTGACTATGTTAATTGTTATAATAAAGATTGATTAAATTTTTATTCAACGAGTCCGGTGCCAACGCGTAGCCATAATAAACATAACAAAAAATCTGCACAAAATTGTCCTTATTTATATATATATATTTTTTTAATTTGTTATTTAGGTACCCTAAGAAGTCCTAACGGTCTTGTCACAGAGCACTGCGGAAGTGCATTTAACCAGGAAGTTCACGCCTCCTTTCTTACCATGACGCGAAATATGTCCAAAGCTCGTTTTGAACCTGGATCTCCTGCTTACAAAGCCTATGATCTAACCATTGCGCCACGGCCGCACAATATTTGGCATAACTTTTTTGTGAATCAAGAAGCTCGTTTTGATCAGTTTAGAAAATTAAAAGGTTTAAAGAAAGATAAGCGCTAGAAAAAGAATGAGCTAAAACAAAGTGAAGTTACATTATATTTTTAAATATATTAGTTGAGGTTGAGAGTTTATGTTCACTTATTTTAGTTTAAAAGACATCTTTGTCAGACACTTGTCTCAGAAAGCCATAGCTATTCAAAGGCGTCTAAATTTTATTACGCCTAATACAGGTCTTTAAACGTCTTTAAAAAACGCTGAGAAGAGAAATGTTTTTTTTTTAATATTGTTACTCTGTAGAAGTTACTGATATACCTGTTACTTCAATGAAGTTTTCATTCTATTTATAAAATATTTTATTTTTTCTTCAAACCTAATATTTGTTTAACTTTCTACAGGTAATACTAATATGAAAACAATTTTTATTGTTTTTTGATTTATACTCGGGTAAAATATTCGTTTTCTTATTTTAATTTATTGTTAAAAAATATATTTTTTCATTATTTTATTTTATGGTTATTTTCAAGAGAAGGCAGAGACACCAACAAAAAGCTTTGAAGTTAATAATAGTGAAGGTATGAATTAAAAACTTACTAATTCATTTGTAATTGTTAGCGTTTTATTTTATTTATAATTTATTTTCTAGAGGAGGCAGATAATTATAAAAATCTTTGCATCTAAAGACAGTGAAGGTATATAATAATAAATCACTTTTACATTTTTTTAGCGTTACCTTTTTATTGTAATAAAGATTTTTATGTAAACCTATTTAAATAATCAATTTAAACATTATCCAACCTGGTGAAGAAATGTGTAGAGTTTTAAAACATGTAATCTTCAATAAATGTAATAGTCGTTATTTTATTAGAAGAAAGGCTTATGCTTAAATTTTGATGAAATTATCCTTAAATTGCATTTCATGAATAGGTTACGGAATATTAAAATGTATCCATATTAAAAAACCCTGTAAAAGTCATTCTGGGTATACATCCAGATTTAGGTGACTGCAAGGTACACGATTATTCGTTACAAGACACTTTAAACGAATGTCTCAGTGACGAAGTTGTTAATATTTATCTCAAAATATTAGTAAACAGTAAAGAAAAAGTATAATTAATTAATGTACTTTATAATAAAATTATTGTACAAAAAAACAATAACGCATTTTTTTTTTTTTATTTTGTCTTTATTTAAATAAAATTTTAATTCTAAATATAAAACAATATATTGAATGCCATTCCATTTATTGATGCTTTGAAGAATCGAGTCAAAGTACTGTAGCCAGCTGGGCTACGCTCACTGGATGAATTGCAAATTAAAACTGATTTAATACAAAGACGGCATAAGGTATTCAAAAACTTTTATCTAAAAAAAATTAATGATTTATTAATTTAATTATAAAGTATTTCACACCCACACACACACACACACACACACACACACACACACACACACACACACACACAA